GTGTCTGAGCACTGCAGTGTCTGAGCACTGTGATCACCGTGTCTGAGCACTGTGATGTGCTCTTGAATTCAGCTGCCAGCATTTCCTTGACAGTTTCTGCATCTACACTCAGTGCAGACACAGGCCTGCAGTTCCCATATTGTGTCGTGTGGTTTGGGTATCACAGTAATGGCTTCACAACAAGGCTGGCAGAGTTCTCTTCACTTCAGTTTCTTGGATTATTTGAAAAGGAACTGGAAGAATTTTTAAAATAAACCTTTTGTAGAAACCTGGGTCACTGGGTTCTCGGTTTTAGGCAGCAGACTAAATTACTGTCCCGCCTGTATTACTCTTTGTTGTTCTTCTTACATTCCATACTTCTTGACTCGCTTTTGGTGTGTTTGCATGTGGGATCTTATCCATTTCTTTTGGGCCTACCAGTTTCATATAATGATGCACAGCCACTTCCTTATGGTCCTTTAGAACTGGGTCAGATCAGTAAGATCTCTCCCTTTTGGTCTTTGATTTTTTTTCTTGTCAAGTCTAATGAAAGGTTTGTCAGTTTTGTGTTCTGTCAAAAAGCACTTTAGGAATCTTTCGTCTTGGTTCTGCACGCTTTCTCTCTGACGTGAACATTTGCCCTAGACAAGCTCTCAGTGCTCTTGCTGCGGCTACAGAATTGCATGTTGTCCTTTCACGTCATGTTTCCAGAGCGAGTCTTCAATTTCTCTTTAACGTCTCCACTTTACAATGTGTCATCTGAGAGAAGGCTGTTCATTTTCCACATTTTACGTATTTTTGTTGACATGCAGTTTTATCTGTGGTCTAAGGCTATATAATAAGATTATAATTTTTGAAAATACTGAGACTTGACTTGTGGCCTAATGCATGACTTACCTTGGAGAATGTTCTTTCTGATGTTGGATGAAATGACTTTGCCCCATAGTGTTTCAGTTCATGTTTTCTTGCTGGTCTCCTGACTACATGACTTGTCAGCATTGGAGTCTGTCCCTTTGGCTTTATGGACTTCGGCAGTACTGTGCTGAGTACCTATACCTTTATAACTGTTGTGTCTTCTGGTAAATCACCATGCAATGACCCTTTGGCCTCTCTTTAGTTTCTGATTTAAAGATAATAAATAAAGCTGTTTTGGCCTATGGCAAGAAAGCTTACAGCCAGGTGGGAAATCTAAACAGAGATACAGAGAGAAGAAGGGCGGAGTCAGGGGAGACGCCAGCCACTGCTGAAGGAGCAACAAGATGCCTGCAGACCGGTAACGCCATGGTCAAAAGCAGACCAGTAATCCCACAGCCATGTGGCAACATAGAGATTTATAGAAATGGGTTAATTTAAGATGAAAGAGCCAGCTAGCAAGAAGCTGAAGCCATAGGCCACACAGTGTGTAATTAATATAAGCCTCTGAGTGATTATTTTATAAGTAGCTGCGGGACCATTCATCTGGACTGCTGGGCAAGCCAGAACCAGGGAAATTTCCACCTACAAGAGGGCCTGGGGTAGACCACCAAGCAGTGTCGCCTCTCTCTGCTGGCTTCGGGTCCATTAGGGGCCTTTGGCTTCTCTGTCTTTGTTGCTTGGTTGTAAGTCGCACCCAGGAATAGCTGTGCCTGCATCTCCAGGTCCAGCTGGAGTCCACCTACATTCCACAGTGACTGGAAACAATGTCTCCAGAAATACCATTTTCACCAAGTGTGCAGTAACAGGTCTTCAGCCACTGGGGAAGGAACTTTGGATTTGAGGGGGCTGCCTCTTTAGCAGTCATGCTTGGGAAGCCTGTACTATAAACAAGTTAAGCTACAAGACTTCCTAGTTAAAGATGCATGAAGGTTGATTGTATAAGTCACCTTAAAACAGACTTGGGTTTTCATATCTAGACTGATTACTTTTAGAAAGCAGACTAAGTTACTAATGATTTTTCTACACTAACAGACTTCTAGGTTATGTTAGTGTGTGGATTTGTTTGAAAAAACAATTTATACATATATTAATATAATTGAAATCCCTAAAAAAAACTTATTTAGTCCAATATTTTGGTTATTTCTTACCTGTTTCTGTAGGATTTCTTCTCGAACTTGAGAAAGTGCAAGGGATTCTTGTTTACCCTGCAGCTCATTAACTTGACCTTGGAAATGTTTTATAAGTACCTAGAGAAATAGGACAAGTAGGGTTAGTCTACTGCCACACATCCCGGAATGCGCACGACCTTGTCTGATCTTGGAAGCTGAGCAGGGTTGGGAGGATTTGGTTCATAAGGCTCCCCCTTGAATACTGTGTAGTTAATATAAGCCAGCTCAAGACTGAAGCAAGCCTTTAGAAGCAAACCTCAGTCAAGTGTAAGTTTGGAAGTGGATAGTATTATCTTCATACTTTGTGATTAAGAAGGATGTTAGATTATTAAATAAAGATAATAGTCATAATCTCTGAACTAAAAATGTCAGGTCATAATTTTAGACAAAGGATTGGAATCCATGAACAGCTTTCCATCAGACATTCTAAGAACGTGTGGAATGCCTAGCTCTCTACTCTGTGACACTACACCTTCACTGTTGTTCTAAAGAGCAGGCAGCAACTGACTTCCATGGAATTCTACTACATTTATCATCTCAGGGAAACACGTTATCTGTGTTACTGTGGTATTAAGTCAACACTGCTCTCTCTCTCACTGTCCCAGACTATCCCTGCAAATCATTTGGGTGCAATGGCAGCTGCCTCTGACACCTGGCCAGGATCTGCAGGGCTACATTGGGTGATACTTTGAAGAATACTTTAGAAAAGCATTTAAAATACTTCTTACTGCATTATGAGAACTGTCCCGACTTCCTTACATTTCATCTCCCGAGTGCTTCAACACCAACACGCACTTGTAATAGGGCATTTCTTAAAAGGTGTAACAACATTTTTACATCTGGTAATTTACAATGACTTAAAAATACTCAATAACCTGTCCCTGTTTAAATTTCTCCAATGAAGAATTTGTTTGTAATTATAATGGTGGGAAGTGGTTACAGGTGGGAGAGATGGCAGTAACTTCTTGAAGCCTCCCATTAAGCTTGTCTTATGAAAATAAAAACCTCCAGGAAGGATGAGGAGCAAAACAAACAGCCTCATTCACTACTGCTTATGTTTCCTGTTTTTAAAAAAAAGTTCTGTTTTCATCCTAATAGTACAGAAAACGGCCACAGGGCAGCTCTTTTCAGATAGTCTGAGTAGATGATGTACCTGTTAGCCTTAGCCAAGGAGGAGATGCTGATGGGTTGTCAGCATCCCCCACCACAGCTGTTGGAAGGCTGTGCTTCCCATGGGCTGGAGCTGTATGTCTCTGTTCATTTCTTTATCTCTAGTGCCTCAGTCACTGGAGCTGTTATTTGTTCCATGATGAAAGGTAACAAGAGGAAGAATGTGTGAGGACAGCCACTTGTCATTTGGGACTTGGGGTGCAGGGAGGAAGGTCAACATGCATGTTCAAGTGATAAGGTCCTACTCAGCTAGACATATACCTCAGCATACTGAGACAGCCCTATGGAGAGGAAGATCTGGGAAATGTAGGGCCGAGTCTGTAGAGACACTTATTTATAGGGTGTAACTTTAAGGTAAAATGTTAAAAATATGGTAATGGTATCTCCACTATATGTATAAAATTAAGTCAATAATTATTTTCCATTTGTATCATCAACCTGAAAAAATAAATTTTAAACATTTCCAAATTAAATCATGTTCTAGCAGTAGTCTTAAAAACACACTATTAACGTCCAAGAAGGGCCAACTACCTCTTGAGTTGTGATTTTTCGAGTCAGTTCAGCTACTTTGGAAGAGGAGTTTTCTACTGCATTCTGGCAAAGGAGTTTCTCTATTTCCCTCTGATGAGACTCTTTGAGGGACGCGATGTGTGCCGCAGTGTCGTCCTTGACCCTGTGGAACAAACACAAGATAACGTGTAGAGTGGCTCTCACACCTCTAACTCAGGGAGCCCAAACACTACTCAAGGCCTGGAAGAGAAGGCAGGAAAGGGCATTGGGATTACTACTGGCTGCCAGTGAGGTGTGTTCAACGCATGTTCTGAGCTCCTCCAGTCACTCACAGGCTAGCATCCTCTACGTTTTGTAAGAGTAATGGGTTTAGAAAAGTGACACACAGAGGTCACACCAAGGATGCAAATCTATAAACAGTCTAGCCTGAGGTCAAGTTAAGCACAAATGGAGTTTAAAATTTGAGCCTTCCACTCTCCTCCATCTGAAGCTATATTCTCCAGCACTGGAGAAACAGGTTTCAATATGGTGCTGCCATGTTGACTTAGGTGCTAACACTGCTGTCAATCAATCAATAAAATAAGCATTGTAGGTGCTACCCCCCCATGCTCATCCTGCTGAGCAAAACCAGGTAGTTGTTAGGCATAGGCATGCAAGGGCAGTGCAATCTTCTCTCTGTTCTTTGGGAGCTACAAGGCTGGGGATAACTAATGCTTCTGTAGGAGTTGTGGGTGGGAGCAGGCGATTTTCTGAGATGTGCCAAGAAGCGTTCTGTGGAAGAAGCAGAACTTCAAACAACCGAGCAAGAGGCACAAAGTAACAGGGCAAGTTAGGCGCAGAGAGGATATGAGAGTGCCTATGGGATTTGAAATGCCAAGCAGAGAAATTTGGTGTTGATATTAAAGGAAGTGGGGAGTTATTGAAGGACACAGTGACCAGATGACTATGACAGCATTTCAAGAATATATATATATATATATATTTTAAAAGCAAGATGACTGGGAGAGAAAGAAATGAAGATGGGGCGGGAAAGTATGATGGACTTTTTAGTACAGAAAGGAGGGTGGTACAGGTGGGAACATTTATAGGCAGTATCCTACAGACAACAAAGTCAGGCAGTAATGGAGGTAAGACTGACTGGCAGTTGGAAATAATAGTTAGCAATCATGGACAGGCATGGGAGCCTGCGGGGGAAGAACTCGTTTATGAGTGAAGAAGAAACTTGCCCGCCACCCCAAAGACATTGGCATGAAGGTTTCAGCTCATCAGAATCTGGTGTTTCATCAGGTAGAGAATCCTACACTGAAAATCTTCTATCTTCACATACTACTACCATGACATACACATAATATAATAAATATTATTTTTTAAGGCAAGTCACATATATCCCAAGCTGGCCTCTAACTTGCTATGTAGTCAAGAATGACTTTGGATTTCTGATTCTCCAGCTTCTACCAAGTGTTGTGCGTTAGGCACTGAACACCCTGTTTCTGTGGTGGTGGGGGATCAAACTCAGGGTTCTATGTACGCTAGGCCAGCATTCTCACAATCAATCAACTACAGTTTCTTAAAATGTTGTTATGAATGTGTTTCCAAGTCATTATAGAGAAAATATGCCTTATAATTAAAAAAGCTGTGTTCCCATGTACTGAGGGACAGTTCAACCTCTCACCTTCTCATGGAGTTTTCAAATTGGTACACTGCTGCTTCCGAGTCCATCTTCAGCTTATCTCTCTCTAAGACCAATCCCTCTAGTTCGGTTTTCAATCTGTAGTTTTCTTGTAAAACCTCTGAAACATCAGAGTCAGTAAAGGTGTGTGGGTGGTACAGTTTGGCATCTAGGGTTCCAGGGAAGGAATTTGCATTCCCTCTATGTGGGTTCAGAACTTCTTTCTTTGGCCTTTTGGCGGACGTTTCCTCCCTGCTCCTGGGGCTCTGCCTGGACAGCATCATCCTCCGCTCCTTCTGGAGCCTCTCCACGGTTTTCGAAAGGTCTTGGATCTCTCTCCCTTTGGCGGCCAGTTCCTCGTTGAGTCTCGCCAGCTTTGCTTTCGCATGCGCCTGCTCTACCTGGAATTCTATGGACTGGAGGTCCTCATCCTCCTTGCCATTCTTCTTGTGTTCTAACTCGGCATTTTGATGCTTAAGCACATCGATTTCTGCTTCCAGCTTTCTTACGGTGACCTGATGGGCTTCCTTTACCTCCCCAAGTTCTGTCTCAAGGGCCTTAAGCCTGGATGAGCTGTTGCGCTGGTTCTGTGGCGCTTCCTTCAGTCTGTGGGCAAGCAGCTGCTCCTGCTCCTCCAGCCGCTGCTCGTACTGGATCTGAGGAAAGAATTCAGGTCCTATCAAAGCTCCGTTAAACACGTCATTACTTACAGGAAGCTCTCGAGTGTCCTCTGTCCAAACACTCACATAGTCTTATGTCTTCAACTTCCTTTGAAAATCAGATGTAATGAAGGCTTATTCTCTGAAGGGTGTAACTACATCATTTAAAAACCGATTCATTGCCGGGCGGTGGTGGCGCACGCCTTTAATCCCAGCACTCGGGAGGCAGAG